TTCATTAAAACATTTTCATTCTGAAACAAACTCCTTGTAATCAAATCTCCACAGTTGAACCCTGGATAATACTTCCACTATTTTTTTTAATTCTCCATTATTTTACATGAAGATTTTGTGAAATTCATAGTTTTGCTGTTTGCTGATGTGATTGGAGTGTCTTTAGATTTAGGGGCTTACACTGCATTGGTATTGTGCTATAGTACCCTTATTGAGAAAAGGAAATCCCACGAAGAGTGTGTTATGTTTACAATTTATAGGTATTCTCTGTTGGGTTTTATTGCATTTACTTTTAGGGGAAGGGGCCTGAGAAGATATATATGTAAAATTTTTTGCTAGCATTTAAGTTCCTCTCCGAGGGATTCTCCCTTTGATTTAATCCTGGATTATGTGGAATTAAATAGTGACAACTATTGTTGATATATAAGAAGAAAACCAGTAAAAAGTGCTGAAGAACATGAGTTCAAGAGAATGATTTTTGAGAGTTTGATAGTTAAAAATTGTATATATTACTCAAAATATTGAAATATTCGGACAAAATGTTGCAAAAGTGATTTATGAAGTTTTTGTGTAATTTTGAACTTAATCATCCCAGTTCTTGAAAAATGTGTATATATTTGTAAATATCTAATTGGATTCTATTGGTGGCTCAGGAATTCGTGTAGAAGTTTCACCATTGTTACTAATTCACCACAATGAGCATATTGTTTCCGGATTACTGCAGAATGTTGTTGGTTTCTACTTCTTAGAAGGTTGAGCAGACCTGCTTTCTCTTGCAACACCATGAAACTACAATTGAGAAACTATTCTTTTGACTCCAAATTGCAATCTGTTTATATCACAAGTCATTTATTTCCTCAGTATTTCTATTCCTGAGAAGCTGTAGTCATGTATCTTAAAATTTGCAAAATTAGTGAGCTCTATTCATCTTCCTCTTATTCATTGAAATTTATCAAGAGATGACATTGAGTTAATTTTATGGAAAAAACAACAAATGAATACTGATTTAACATACTATTTATTTTTATTAATTTTTTTGTCAAATGTTCTTCTAAAGGCTTGGTTGAATGTTGATCTATCAATTAGTAAATTGATGCTGTAATATCAGCTGATGTCAAATACAAAACTATGCATTGTCAGGCTAAGGGTTGTACTCCTTCCTTATATTATGGTTTTTTTCTTTGCCTTTAACCTATCAACCTTTAAGTGCCCAAATTATTTTTTTTAAAGATTTTACATTTTTGTATTATTTTCTGGTAAGTGATGCATCTCTTAACAACGCTAATAATAAAAGTAGTGTTATTTCATCTTTATTAACTGTAAAATCGAGCATGTCCATAGAGGATAACCAGGGAACTTACATAGTCCCATATGGCCCCGTCCATTAGAAACAGAACAACACTTCTTTTTGCAAGTGACATTAATATTTTTTACCAAAAAGAATCTATGCGTAATATGATTTCAAATAGGTTTCTTAAGAACAAATTAATAGTAAACAATGGAAAAACAGTTTCAATGCAGTTTTTCATTTCAAATTGACAATTGCATGCACCATGAAAACGAACAATGTGCAGTGGGCTGATGTTATGGTGATTCTGGGTCTCTGAATTCAGACGAGCCATATATAGCCATATAAGTGAAATCTTTCAAATTCAATCTGCCTCCATGCAGTTCATGTGCATTTTGTGATTGTACATTCCCACTTAAGATATGACATAATATTTAGGGAAACCACAGTAATTTTTAGATTACTGAAAAAATTGCAGGAAAAATAAGCAAATGCTGAAAGTGATACCTGCTAGCCTTTCTTTGTTGAGCTTAGAATCTTCCCAGTGCCATGCCTATTTATTTACAATGCTGTAGTTTTTGACAAAAGTGACTTACTTAAGTCAGTAGAAACATATTTTTATGCAGTACAGATGTTTATAAACATGCACACATTGTAGGAATCCTATTGTATAGGATTATATTACATGTATATTACTTTACAACAAATCGCCAGATGACACAAATCAATTGAAATACATACAATAGTTTAAATGGTAAGGAAATTCTTTCTTTTGCACAACAGTTTCTATACAACTAGAGATACTACTTATTTTGCTTCTGGACATCAATATTGCTTCACTCAGCACATATTTTGTTGAGGTCACCTCACTTCCAAAGCATTCAATCACCTAATTTCATATTAATCCTAAAATAGTATAAACATTTTGAAGTTTTTAAAAAACAGTTAAAATCTATTTTAAATTCAAAGCCATAATTGAATTAAATTTTATAGAAATATGCTGTACCAGTAATTGAAAATCCAAGCAAAAATTGGATTGATGGAGCAAGGAAAGAATTGAGATAAGGGAAAAGCTGAGTACGCTATGAATTGTGGTAGATAGATTTATTGAATGTGATCTACAGTTCTACAGCATTATGAAAGAAGTAGATGCACAAAGATCAATAAAATCTTATTGGCATCCAATATTAATCTGAACTGGAAAAATTAGGATGAATGTGAGCCACCATAAATATGTAAAGTGAATGCGAAGACCAAATGATTATTTGAGTTCTCTTTATTACCATGATTCAAAAAGGAAGTTAACTGACACATTTTCAGTACAACATTCAGTGTTAATTTTGGGAGGTAAGCAGTGTTAAGTTAAACAGAATGTACAATGTGATTTAAACCCACTTGCTATCTCTAACAGCCTTCCAGGGTGTTGTGGATCTGCCTCCAGAGAATCTAGCGGATCTAGGGCACTAGCATGGGTACTGTGCCTAGTTTTCATTTACCTTCGTTTATTTGGCAAAATTTATTTTAAAATGTATTAATGCTTGAATTACGTAATTATTTTAACAAAAATATTGGATAGTATCAAATCTACAGTACTTAAATAATATAAAATGTAATAATGAATATGTTGAGTATTTAACGGAAATCTAAGACCCCCCCACCAATGATTGGCTGGATCCACCCCTGAAAACATAACATGAATGTGGTGTACACTAGGCAACTGGAAGAAGTGAAGTAATTTGCTGTAGCTTTTACTTGCTTGATCAAAGAGTCCCGAAACGTTCACTGGTCCTGCAAATAACACCTTGCACACTACAAAAGCAGATGGTATGAGTTCAGCACCACTCATACTCCCTGCAACATTTATATTATTCCAGCAACATAGACTGCAATATGTTACTACACTGCAGCAGGTATGAATTACTCGTGCACCTGCCAGGAATTGCACCCAGGTTCTTGTACATGACAGTGAGCATGGGGTGGCTATGGGCCACTCAGGGGTACTATTATCATGAAGTGCAATAATAATGAAATTTTTGGTGTGACATATGGGTGAATTTGCTGGTGAAAGTAGACAGTCTCTTGAACTTTTTCTGATACATCTGCTAAAAATCCCTTTCCAAGCACTTATTAATGGGATTAGCAACTGACAAACAGAAACCGAATGTTGAATACGATTTGGGAGTAGCATGGTGATTTTCACTTGGATCCCACCTTTCAAATTAAAGGGATTTACAATTTTTTTAATCGTCATGTTAATTTAAGGTGATAATTATTTTTTGTGAGAAGACTGCTTAGTCATAATGCTTTGTCCATCTTTTCCATCTTGTGTCAGGTTCAAATAAATATTTGAAATCTGAAATTTTGGGGTGTCACCGGGCCTGCAGCCTTTAGTTAGTGGGTGCCAGAAGATAGGTTTCTAGTGGTAAATCTGTGCACTAAAGCACAAAATGTGCATCTAAAGGATTATAAAGGAAATCCATGCACTCTTTGGATGCTGCTGAAGAAATTTTTGACTGCACAATTCCATGTACTAATCAAATGTGGACCCTTCAACTTTATATTCAATTTTATGAGATTCATTATCAATGCTTGATAACAATGCAGTCTATGCTTAAATAATTTATTAGAAAATCGTAGCAACCATATAATTTATTGTTTTGAGATTTTGGTCTCGGAGTAAAATGAATAACTTAAAAACGGTGTGTCACAACTCACAGTACATTTTTATCGGTTCAAAAATTTTGGAAAACATTTTATGCTTTTTAAAATTCTGTTAAATGATATATGTTGTAATATACTCTATGGCATAATCATTATATTTTAATAATTCTTGTGATCATTTTTTTTCTCACTTCCAAACTCCAAAGTTCATCTCAGCCTATTTGATTAAAAAACCAGTGTTCTTGAGTGTTAAAGAAGGGAGTGATAGATTTTCTTGAATTTGAAAGTTCTTATTCTCTTATATTCTGTCTCCAAATTTATAAATTTAATAAAATGAATAAAATCCTTCTAATATGTGTGTACAGCTGCTTCAGTTTGAAAAGATATCAAAATGTTAATGTTATCTCTTGATTCAGAAAATGTTTTGAATAGGTTTCAGTGAATTGACCCATTTTCACTACCTTGATTGATTTTCTTCTATTGAAAAAGTCACTTCAATTTGAAATCAAATACATTCAGAATGTTTTGTTAACTTTCTGTGAACTCACTAATGTAAATTCTAAAAGTATTTCTTAATATGAAGTTGAGCATGGTACAAATGAATAGTTGTACTCTCATTTTTATCATACTGTTATTTCTCATTCTAAATTTAATAATGTGTAATTTGTAACTTTTTTAATTTTAATTTTTTCATTAGTAAATTTGGGAAAAACATTGTCATTCAAGTTGCAGTTTTTAACACAGATTTTTGTAGAAGTTGGTAATGCACATTTTCATCAGTATCATTTTGATTCAGACCATTAATTTGATCATTACCCAAAAGGAGTCAGTCAGCATCTTTATAAAGAAGGATAATTTCATTGTTCTCATGTGATCTCATACTAGTGGTCTTATTTTCTTAATGCAGCCTATTAGATTTGGTTTGTAAATAAAAGGAACTCGTAGATTTTTGTCCACATCACACAGATCATCATTGATGTGTATCTCTTTTGAGTTGTAGTCGATAGTAGGTGGATCCGGTAGTGTATTTTAAACATTTCTGGTGTTTCAGGGGAACTGTGAACCACACTTTTTGGCACCTTCTGTCATTAAACAGGAGGCGCGAGAAGCTGCAGAAGCAGCGAGGAAGGAAAGATTTGCAAAGGTATGCAGGCCCACACCCTGAAATTTGTTTCTAGAGGGTTCCTTTGTCTGTTCATGTTATAGCAAAGTCTGAAGAAGGCAGAAGAAGGGAAACCAAATAGCAAAGTTGAATTATATGTCACATTCGCAAATAATTCTGCCTGACATCCATCACAAAGTTTTTAATTTGGAGTATGCCAATTTTGGCCCAGAAATTGTTGAGACGAGATGTTTTTTTATGTAGAAGAAATTCTGTAATAGAAAAAGAGGTGTGATTATTTGGGCTTGCATTACAATCTCATAATATCTTTTTAATAATAAGTGCAATTGTTTCAATTGAAATCAAAATGTAGTTTTGTGGGACTTTCAGGTTGCTCATTTGCTAGCATGCTTGCTTTCTGTTCGCATGGTCTTAAGTTGATTGTTGGTGAAGGCTTTTGTTATAGTGTTGATCCAGGACTTGCAAAACAACTGGTGAATTATGAATTAATCAATTGCTAAAGGGAGTGGCAAAACCCAATAATAAAAGGGTCGATCTTGTGGGCTAATTGCTTATGAGATGTGTGCCATCATAAATCGCCATTAGGATGGCTATATTTTTTGATAATTTTAGAATAAAAACTTAGCAGGATTCTTATATGTTATTATTTTCACTTTAGTGGAAGTTATATTAATGTGTTCAAAGATTAATACTTTTGTTTTTAAGTTTGTTTTTTAAAAAAAAAGTTTTTAATGCCTTACCTTTTTGAACGCAACTTATTGTTTTATGATACCTAGTATGTTTTGTAGTAGCATCTATTTTGTGGATATTGTGTTCAATGTTATTTCTATTTGCGTGTAGTTTCTTTATCTTCCTCTCAAAAGTGTATATTCATATTTATCATACAAAAGTTTAACATTTTCAAGGGCTGTCCACGGATTCTGAATATTGCAGTGCTTGCATCTCAGCTAAGCCATTGAAATGTAAAGTATATTGAACAGACATTTTATTAAATTAAAAATAAGTAGGAAATAATGTTTAGTTTAATTTCCACTAATTAATCATTAATGTTCTCAAATGTTTGTAAACCATTTATTAGTTTTCAACCTCTTTTAGAATTTTAATGTACTACATTCAGTTTCTTAGTAGATATCGAAAATACACATTGATAGGCACCTTACTAACATAAATTTTGGTATCTTTTATCAGTTCATTTTACAGCTCATGTATTGAAGTAGAGAACAAAGTTTTATTGTTTTTATCAAATAGTTCCTTTTTCCAGGTTCATAATCATTATTTATTTATAAATTTACAATGTAAGTAGACTCAAATATGTAGGACAGATTATTATTACTATTATTTGAATTTTGGTTTTTGCTGCCTTCATATTTTTGAAAAATGTTGTGTCGGCAAAATACGGTCTCCAAGCACATGTAATACTGCTTTATTGTTTCAGTTTCGTTGATAAGTAATTGTAGACTGTATTGTGGTCTTAATATCTGATGCTTTCTGTAAATGTTTTTCTTTTCATTTATGCACTGTTTCTATGATATGATTTGTTACTTGCTTTGTAGAAAAAAGTTTATTTCGTTGATTTTTATATTAATTTGCGTAGAGTGCCATTGAAAGTATCACAGCTAATATTACTGATTCTCAATACATTTACCAATGTATGTGTGGGCAGGGGGGGGGGGAATTAAAACAATTTCTGAAGTTGACAGTTTCGTGAATATGCTGGAGTGAATATATGGTGAGATAGGGGTTGCTGGTGGCCCTCATTAATAATTTCTTGCGAAACCTCCCTAAAAATGTAAAAGGAAATTTTAAATGCTGAAAAAATTTTTTCAGTTAATTTAATTCAGTAATTTTTGTTTTGTTTTTATTTAAAAATTGTCTAATGTTCTCAATGTTATTTCTGGGCAATTGTTGTAATTTTGGTTATCTTACAATAATAAAAGTTGGGTTGTTTACTACTTATGAAGTGGTCAACTAAGTACCATATTTTTTTAATATTTATATTTTTATCAACTTATTATTCTAGTGAGTTTTCCTTGTTGAATAATTGAAGTGTGATTGGTGGTGTTCAATGGATGAGCGTGTATGCATGACCAGTCTTGCCTATGTGTACAGCTTTATTCCCTGGCTTTAGATTGTTGAAAGCATGGTACTTTCTTGCACATAGTAAAAGAGAAAGTATTGTGCTGCGACAAAACTCAGCAATTTTTCGATAGTAAAAAGGTGTATTGTGTGTTCCTGGTAGCAAAAATGTGGATAAATCTTGTTCTTATTGTCATAAATTTCATCCTCTATCACATTGTATTGTCAGAATCCAAATTTGTGGGTAATTTATGCCAAAAAATCAATTCACATTCATTCTGTTCATCCATCTGTGATAAATGTTATAGACCGTTCATACTTTTTTCATGAAATCGATAATTCTCCGTTGATGTCAGTTTGTCAAATGTGTGTTTCCTCATCAATGTCATGGCTCTGTGAGTTTAAAATTGATATTTTGATTTTACAAGAAGCTGCAACATCATTTCTAAATTTTCTCAAAAACTCTCTATATATAAAAAAACAAAAAACTTTCTTAGTCAGTTCCTACACCTAAAATATAGAAGATAGATATTTTTCCATAACAGAAAATAGATTGCTCAAGGATTGCTCTTAAAATAAGATAATTTACAATTTTTCAAAAATAAATTTGTTCACGTAATTTTGTGTAAACTAGAGACAATTTTTAAATGATCATTTTCTCAAAGACAGCCTCACTTTTATTCTTTGATTTTTCCCCTTCAGGTAGTGCAAAAGTTGCTGAAAAATGGTGCAGGTCTCATTTTAGGCAAACTGCATATTCTTGAAAATTGTAAAAAATTAACCATGCAAAAGTAAAATATTTTTTCCTGAAAGGAATCTGCTCTAAAAAATAAATCTATAAATAAGGCCATGGACCATTTTTTTTGGAAAAATCTAGTAGTTTTTGCTTAATGTTTGCTTGAAATAAAGGCATACAAAAAAACATGAGAAGTTTTGGTCTAAGTTTTACAAGAAGTATAGACAACTTATTAAAAAAGATACTCAAAACAGCTTTAATTTTTTTTTTAATGTTCAAACATGGATAAAGCAAAGGTAGCTTAAAACAATGATGCAGGACTGACTTTTGGCAAACTCTCGGTATTCTCAAAAATTGCGGAAAAAATTAACATTGCAAACCAACAATACTGATAGTGGTTTTTTCCTTTAATGAAATCTGTTCGTTGAAACTAGATCTTGAAATAATATAAATAAAAATCTGTAAAATCTTGAAATTTGCAAATGTAAATGTTTAACATTTTGTAAGTGTCAGGAAAGTTGAGTTTAGCTGTGCAGCTGGTGGTGAAGGGGTAACATAAATGGTGTGTTCAGATCCTAAGTTCAGATCCTAGTGAGGAGAAAACATTTTTGCTGGTTGGAAATACTTTTGCAGGCTCATGTCGTGTTATATTATTGCCAATATTGTCTACAAACATTTGTGAGAAAGTATATGCTGTTGTAGCCTTGGTACATATTGTAGGCATCAGCACAAGGAAGATATATAGAGGGAACCAAAATGAAGGGATATTGTCTTAAGAAAAAGCCAACCAGAGATATATCATGTAACATTTACGTTTCTGTTGTCTCACGTCAGTCTAAATCGCTATGTCAATCATGACTTCTAGGAAGAAAAGAAAATTAAGCAGCTCAGAAAACTTATGTTGTGGACCTACATACTTTACTTAGATTTTCCGTGAATGCAAATGCAACCAATAGATTTAAGAATCTATATCTTGGATATGAAGAGAAGACTGAAACTGATAATAATGCATAATAGCAATGCTGTTGTGGTGGTTGTGACATTAAAAGCATCATTTCTTGGCAAATTGTTTGCAACTATTATTTCTCGCCTGAACTCTCAGCCATTGGAATACCTGGTGTCTGTTGGTGATTACTGTGTATTGTGGTACATCTCTCACCCTTGGCATGAAGTGGCTGGGCTTGTATCTTCCTTGACGGCACTTTTTATTTGGAGTGCTTTTTTTCAGCTCCCAAACTCACCACACCTGCAGAAATATTTCTGGAAGCGGCTGGGTTGTAGTGCTGTCCGTTTTGTGTCATTGTTTCTTAAAACTGGGAGATCGCCTTCTTTACTGTGCCATCTATGAACATTATCAGATCTACTTGTAGGATAGCATTTGACTTGAATGCTGTCACACTGATCTGAGTACGATTGGGAAAGCATGCTTTTGTTGTTCTTTTTCTGCAACAGAGAGAGATCGATTGCTCTACACATGTTTCTCTTTTTTTTTTAAAACCTAGCTCTTAAAATGTACTACAGCACAGCTTTGCTGTCATCATTAGAAGTGAATAGATAAGAGTTTCTTGATCCCATTGGGGAAAAGTGAATGATACAAATGCTTTATTAGGATAAGTGTAGCTTGAGTGTAAATGTCTCATGATTGTTTCTTTTCTTCAGAATGCAATGGCTGTGGGAACATCAGACAAATCGGATAGACAAGTGGGCGCGTCAACTGGTGGTGAGTTTTGTTGGCATTTCAGTGTATCCTTGCACCTCCTACACATCCTTTTTTATCCCAACTTACTTTCCATAGTTCTTGCTATGTATTTTGTGACTAGAAGACTCCAGTGCTTTCTAAGCTCTATCACATTTTGTAGTGACTTAAATTTTGGGTAAGAGTTTCAAATACATAAAATTTTGTTTCTGATGGTTGGTATTTGATCCTATTTAATTGTACTGAATTGTTTTGGTGTGATACATTCTTGCATCAGTATATTACAGTGAACTGTATAAACGCATATTTGAACTTCCTTAGTGAATTGCATATAACATTATCATTTCTTGAAGTATTACAAACATTTTCCTGAAATTAAGCTACAGTGCTTTTTTAAATTTAAATTTGTATTTCATATATTAAAGTTAAAAATGCCCCCCTATGATTACTTGCACAACTCTTCATGGGTTAGGGTATCACCTTTTTTAAGCCTTTATACTAAAAGGAGGTATATGGCATGCTCCATTCTCCAGCAGCCTTTAGTCTCCTGAAGATTTACTGCTGTACAAGATGCGAAATCTTTGACAATCTTATGAATGAGTTTAGAGGAACCTCTGTTGTTTTTTTATGTCACCCTTAATGTAACATTATTGAATGACTGTTTCTGGCAATGCCAGGACTTTTCGGGTTAGTAAGTTCCTCCTGAGCACTCTGGGTTAGGAAGTGAAAACCTCAGCTGTTACATAACCGCGACCACATTAATAGCCGAATATAAATATTCTATAATTTCTGTTCTTTTAATTTTTTTTTGCGAATGTGAATTAGTTAAAGCTTTCATAAGAAATTATTGTTTTGTTACATATAAGTGACAAATTCTTTAGAAGAATTACATAAATTCTAAATTTAAAAAAAAGGAGGGCAAAAAGAAAAAAGAAAATATGGAGGCAGGTTAAAATCCTGTAACAGTAGTCCTGTCATCAATGTAACTTAAAGGAAAGTACTACTTCAGTGAATGTCTACATACAGCATTCACTTACCCCCGATGTGTGTTTGTTTGCAGAAAACTGCATCTCAGTTTCTTGAATGGTTCAGAAAATACAGGGGGTCTTAAGTGCTGTATGAATCACACCCCCTTATACCATCGTAAGCCTCAAATTTAGCTTTTGTATTTACTATTTTTTCGTCTTCTTTTAACAGTTTTCTGTAAGTTTTATTACACTTTTTAAGACACACTTTTATTTTGGCATCCTTCTCATCTTTTATGTATGTCTGCATGCCCTAATCCCGTCTTGATATCTTATTGATACCCTTCTGAAGTCTGATACTGCACTTCTTATTTGATTTGTGAGGTTCGATTAGCTGCTTTTGCCCATAGTTTACCCTTATGCCCTTAGCTCATTTTGTAGCACAGTAAATCTCTGTTGGAGAAAAATTCTTTAGGAAAGTTGTGTTTAATTTCTCAATGTGATTTTAATGTCTCCTTCAGTCTCATTAAATTTGTTTTGTTTTTTCTTTCAGTTTGATCCGACAAGCTACAGCCTGGAATTTTTAGCTTTTTATGTATTTTGATTTTAGCCCTGTTTTATTATTCATATTCATATGAAAATGTTGCGGAAAATATATCATTTTCTGTTAAAAATACTACAAGGCTGTAATATATAGAACATTATGTTAAGTTTATAACACTTTCATCTTTTAACATGATGTGATTATGAGTATTCTAACACTCAGAATTATGTGTGAATGATTTCTCCTTTTATTTCAGTGTTTTTATTTTCTTACTTCTGTTTCTGTTTCAAAATATCGAGAATGATGTTTGCTAATGAAAAAAAAAATGGCCCGTTTTATAGAAATTAGTTAATCAGTTTGTTGAACTCTCTCTTAAATATTGATAATTTAAATTTAGGATAGTTTGAATCTAGTATAAATGCAGGCTAAGTATTTTGAATGCAAACTTTTTCTTATGTTCATGAAGCATTTGATGTTAAAGAATACGGATAATTAAATCTATATTTTTTTATTTCATATATTTATACCATTGACTTGTGATCATTTAAATGTGTTTTTTGTTACCAAAGTTTGTTTGATAACAGTGAACATCAGAAAAGTTCTGATGTAATCTATTTACAGCCTTTTAGGTTCTTATTTGTTTCTTAAGAAATTGTTTCTGAGAGCTTCTGTTTACCTGCAGAGGAATTCCTCTCACCGAGTGAACAAGCGATGCGTCGGTGGAGTGCTAGTGGTATCACGACTAGCAACCAGACGTCAGCCACGCAAGACACTGATGACATCTCGGTTGTGTCTGATGAAGGTCCGGAAGAGGTTGAAGGAACAAAGTATGAGGAGCGGAAAATTCACTGCCACTGTGGGTTGACATTTCTAGACCTTGAAGCCTTCCAGTTTCACAATAGGCAAGTTTCATAAATGTTTTTTTTTTCAAATTTAATATAAATTAACGGTTTTCCACTAGAGTCCTATGCTATATGCTAATCAAAATTAAGATAATACTACCAACTTACTTGACTTTTTGATTATTACATCTTTTATACATAATGACCCTGAATTATGAAATGTTTGCTCTTTACTTTGTAGAGAGAGATGACAAAATTGGAATCTTTGTTGTCTTAAATTTCAGTATTAAGTTAATATGGCATAGAACTATCTACACCTTTTCTAGTTGTATTTCAGAAACCAAGGATTATATTTTGGCAACCACTACTGTATTTCATATTAGTAATTCATTATAGAAAACATTGGATGTAGGTCAGACTTGTAACTTTTATTTCAGGAAACACCAAATGTAGCTCTGATTAGTATCTTTTGTTTCAAAACAAATGAATAAATAGTGTGTACCTGGAAAGTCCCTCTGCAGTGGTGCCAGTGTGAAATGTTAATTAGGTACTCATCACAATCATAACAAGATGCTGGAAGTGTTGTTCCCTTCACTTGTTTCCCAGTGATCTGGTTGCTAGAAACATAAATGCAATTTGCATTAGGAGCCCTTGATTCAGCTCGGTGCGGAGAGACTTTTCTGGTGAACGATATTTCAGAAGGCAATTTATCATCCAGGTGGGTTTTCTTCCTTTGCTATAATGCTGCAGGATTTTTTTGACATCTAAATGTTGAAGATACATTGCCAGGTGTCTTCATTTTGGACAGCATGGATTCTACTGGATTTAACATAGAGAATGGCTTACCTGAAGTACAGAGAACTATTTCTGATATTCAATTAGCAAATCTGAAATACAACTTGTGTATATGTATTTTTTAAGAATTGAATTATCTGATTGGGTGAAAGAAAATCCGGTAGAGAAAAAAGAATTGGGATGAAATAAAACATTTTTTTATTTATTGTACTTAGAGGCAGCAATAATCTGATTACTCCTGTTTTATATCATGTTCATTATTATTTACAGTATTTTATTTAGTTATTTTTATGGAATGGTCAACAATGTTCAATTCCTCTTGTTGATCAAAATTTTTGTCATTTTATGCATTTTGTTTTCTGCATTGCCAGGAAAGTTAGTTTCAAATCAATCATTCAAGCAATACTAATGCTTTTATCAACAATTTCTCTGATACCTCCAATTACACACAGGTCTGATATTTTTTAAACTAGATTTATGTCTTCTTCAGTTGGCCATTAATTGTATTCTCATTTCCAACCTTCATTGTTCATTATTTCACAGGCTATCTCACCCAGGTCCCTTGCACTTCTGTGACCAATGTGGGCGTTCATTCATGCGAGCAGCCAATTTGGCATCTCATGCACGCGTGCACACTTGGAAGAACCGTTCGCAACAGCACTCGAAGTCGGTGAACCAGCAGCCCCCTCCACCAGCGCCCAAGCAGCAGCAGCAGCAGCAACAACAACAACAGCAGCAGCAGCAGCAGCAGCAGCAGCAGCAGCAACAGCAGCAACAACAGCAGCAGCAGCAGCAGCAACAGCAGCCGCAACAGCAGCAGCAACCGGTGCAAGTGGTGCCAACCAAGGAGAAACCCCATGGCTGCCCGACGTGCGGCAAGACGTTTGCGGTCTCTTGGAACCTGAAGTCCCACATGCAGATCCACACGGGTGAGCGACCCTACAGCTGCGAGCAGTGCGGCGCTGCCTTCGTGCGCTCCTCCCACCTCGTCGTCCACAGGCGCATCCACACAGGTCGGTACTTTGCTCGGCGCACTCACTCGAGGTGCACAGTACGTACAGGGTGTCCGCTATATACGGTACGCGAATCTTCTGAAATTGCGTTATTTGATGTTAGGGAAGAAAACAAAGTTCGTTAGTTTTGAAGCAAACCTCTTGAGAGTTCACACTTTGGTGCCCACTCTTTAATGAGTAATTGTGTTCTTTGTAGTTTGATGTCTAAGCAGTATTTTATGAACAATTTTTTATAAATTTAGCCAAAGTTGGTGGTTAGCTTTTTGCTCTTTCCAAGCTCGTTTGTGTTCCTGAAAATTTGGCATAATATTTCTACCAAGCTATTTCTATAAAGAAGAATTAATATTGAATTAAATGTTGATTTTATGATCGTTATTCACACCTGTTCAATCGTTAGAATTAAGGGTTGCCCCTGATTATGCTCTGAGGGACAATTTGGAATTTATGTGATGGATTGCTACATGATGTATTCATTTCAGTTCTTGGAATGTTTTGAAACAGGCTGAAAAAGATATCCTTATGACCAAAAGAATTTTAGAATTTTGCCATGTCCAATTGCAATACAATTCTTTTGTCAATTGTTTAATTTTATATTTCATTTTTTGTTTTAAGGAGCTCCGATATTAAATAACATTCAGACATCTAAAATATTCCCTTCCATACTTTTGTTGTTATTAGGTTTTTGTCAAATAATTTCTAAATATCTAAAACAAGATTGCTAATGGGGAAGAAAACAAACCAAGAATGTGAAAGATAGAACGAATATAAAAAAAGTGAAGGGAAAAATACATGACAGTAAGGATCCGAGTTCAAAATAAAAACTGTTGATACAAATTGGAAATAGTCTTTAACATTACCATGTTTTTGTTATATAATAATATATCAGTAAATAGTTGGGAATAAAATCAGTCATGAGTTATATCAATGAAATCAATTATCTGTGCAACTTTTCTTGACCAATGACCGACCTTGCCCCTCTTTGTTACAATAAACAGTTGAAGGTAAAAGTTTACAGCAGGCATTGATGATATTACTTACGCAACTTTTCTTGAACGATGGATTGAAGAAATGCGGATAGAGTTGGGGTATTAGTTAAGTAATCAGTTACTAGATTTTTTGAAGCAATGCCAATCTCTGGAGAATCAATCATGCCTTCACAAGTTTCTCAATAATTTGTGTTTTCTCAGAAGGTATCTTCTGTGATGGATCTTCACCTCTTTCGTTCATTTCTTTAGATTTTTGGAGAAAATCACTGACATAAGTCTGAACTTCTTCAACTGAAAATAGTTTCTATTTCAACCGGTAAAGATGTGTTTGGAATGTTGTCATCATTGCACATTGCAAGCATTTGTCTTCAACCGTTTATTATGTCAGAGAGGGGGAAGCGTGGTCATCGTTCAAGAAAAGTTGCACAAGTAATAACTTTCCAAACACAATCTTTGTTGGCTCAAAACAGAAGCTGTTGAAGACACGTTTGTGTTATTTCTCCAAACAATGTTAAGAAATGGCTGCTTCATGTACTTCATAAGAGACACTTTGAACTCGTGAGGAAGTTGGGAGAACTTATAATAGCAGCAAACACAAAGTTATTGAGAAAATTGTGAAGGCAATCGAGTTGGGAAAAGGGAACAAGATTCTGTTGCATCCTTTAAGTAATGTTCAGGATTGTGCTTCTGCTGGCTCTGGAACAAATATTTCAATGATATGGAGAATAAATACTAAAAGGGCTAAAGATCCTTAAAATACTCCAGAAATGCCTGATAAAAAAAGAAATGTTCAAGGAGATTTATCATAATCTGGGTAACTATTTTTCACATATTTCTTTCAGCTTTCCGCAGATCTTCAAGTGATAGGTTGATTTATAGTATTTTAGTCTTTAAATTACATAACTTTCACTTCTTAAGAAGTTCCTTCTCAAGCACAAGAAAGTAAAAATTTGTCGTGTTATTTGTTATTTCGATTGATACAGTTGATAAGGTGGAGTTCATTATAATATAAGAGATTTATCTCTTCAGGCAAGTGAAGTCAGAAATCCCAGGTCAAGAAATCAAAAACACATTCACATACACATATAATAAGTGGTGGAAGTGTAAAATTAACTGTCAAATTAATAATTAACATCCAGTTGAAGAACAAGTAAGTTGGATTATGATTAAATTAACTGTCAGCACTCAGTTAAAGAACAGTTAAGTTATTATTCACTTTTTAGTAGTTGACATGCTTGAGAACAATAGAAATGATAGGGAAGATAATTCAAAGAGAAATAACTCGGGGTGAGTGAACGACTTAATCAATGTTTCTATGTGCCATAAAGAGCCTTGCCGCTAGCGATCGCCCTTGTTCTGATTGCTACTAATGTGGGTCCACAAATCTCTCAGAAGGCAATCCTAAAAATGCAATCCTAAAGATTACAACCAGTCTGCTTTTTCATTTGTTATTAAGTTATTAATAAATGGGTGATGATTCTTACCTGTAATGAGGATAGTCTTGCAACTGTTGGGCTGTTGATGTGTGATCTTTTAAATGCCAGTAATTCTTCCGCTCTCCTCTTCTGTCTGAAGGTAATCATTTTACATACCAAAGTGGTTTGTAAAAAGAAATAAAAAAAATATTTAGTATGATTGAAGAGCACATTATATAAAGCAGCTTGTTTCACTTCAGAATCATAAACATTGCAATACCATGTTTGATTGTGAGGAAAATGCAGTTCTGGTATTCTGTGTATCCAGAAAATAGAGTTGTGTTACTACTATCTTATAATTCACAAGTTAGGCATTACTTCACTTCTTCTTCTTCTTCTTCCATTCAAAGAAAATCCAATGTCATGAAACTCTTTTTAAAAGAAGGAAGATAATGTGTGTCTGAAGGCAAGGTATTCAGTTGTAATAATAACTAAGAGGTGGAGGTTATTTTATTCAATGCTGAGTATTAGATATATAAATGGTTCTTCTAAAATATTAATAGGACGATAGCAATCCAACTTTCTAAAATCTTTGCTCAACAATAAGTTGAGATAAGGAAAAGCAGAACAACAAGGGGAGTGACAATCTGTTCATCATAACAAAATCACACCGATGTTTATTTTATTATTTCCTATAATTTTAACTGTCTGCATTAGAAACCTCAAGGTTGAAACGGAAGACCGCAAATTACATATCTGCTTTCTAGTTCATTGTATACAGTGAATCATAATATTTTTGACTGACCGTCCATGGCGCATATACTAGAGGGTTAGCTGAACTTGCATTACAAATGGAGCTTTTATACATTATTGGATGTTGTTTTAAATATTTAGAATCTACATGAAAATTCTTATAAGAATACTAAATCTTGAATTTTCTTCAAATTTTTATTCCTGAAGATATAGAAATGACATTTCTGAATTATGACAAGATTTTGGTTTATTCTTAGAGTTTTTCATGGAATTCAATTTGTCTGATTGAGGTGAAGTCAAAAGTTGCAGGGTGATGCTACCTACGACTTACTACCAAATTGGATGGAGGGCTCAATGAAGGAATATTATTCAAGAAGTTTAGAGATTTAACGGATCATGAATGCATATTCAATTGGCTTTGGCCAGTCATTTACTTTTTGAAATTCTTTGAAATATGCTAAGAATTGTTTTGCTGTTACTTAGCAAATGAGAATATCAAATTTTAAGACAATGTTTTCAGAGTGATTTTTCAAAGATCATTGCAAGTTGCCGACGGTGTAATCATTGCAAAAGTATATAAACTTAAAATTATTGAGGCCCCACTTTGATGTAATCTCATCAATTAATTGAAATTATTTTTGGGTTTGTGTATTAAGGGTTTTTATGAGCTTCTCCTATATCATTAACCCATTTCTTCCTAAGTTGAATAAGAATGAAAAAATTAAGGCAATCTTCATTACTTTTTTTTACTGTCATGTAATGTTTGTGGTTGTGTTCCAATGTTCAGGTCATCTTCCTCCCCTTTCTAAGTTCTTCGCACGAAGTTCATTTGAAATTTAAGACATTGTTCTACCTTTGTCAACTGATTGACTTTCCCGGCATTGTATTATTTTTACCCAACAATAAGACAAACCCCTAATTTTGAAGAGGCGTTTTGAGAATTGTTTTCATTGAGTAAATATTACTACTCACAGGTTCCATAAAATCACAAACTGTCTTTGTGATTTTCAAACCTCTGTACCTTAAAATCTCAAGCATGATTTTCATTCATTTTTATAATGACTTTCACTTACTGCAAATTTCATATTCGGTATAGAGAGATCAGCCTGGTAACAAACATTGGAAAATAAAAGAATTAGCAACTAATGTCAGATGAAGCAGAAGAAATCTAATGTTTAAGCAAATGATGTCATGACAAAAAGAAAATCAGATTTCCTGATGGGGAACTCCCAACATTACAATCTCTCAATACCTGTGTGATTTTATATTATACTCTATTACTGACAATTAAAATGGCTGTTTTATTACATTATTGCATTTTATAATGAATAAAAAAATTCAAAAATGCATAAAAAATCTCTTGTTGCACAACATTCTAAATGTAACATTACAAACTATAATTTATACCTGCCAAGTCAATAAAAAACGAGCAAAACTAAAAATATTTAACTATAACAGAAAATAGTTTATGAACAGCCATTCATTAGCAAATGTTTCTTTTAAATTTTGTAAAAGTAATAGGAAATGTGAAATTTACCTTGCACGTACGCAGTGATGGAGGAAAAACAGGTTGAAGAGAACTTAAATGATTTTCTAAATGTGAAAATTCAATCTTGTGTTAGGCAGCTTGTCAGGAATTATCCATTTCTTCTCTGTAGTATTGTATTTGTGAACAAACTGTTCTTGAGGAGGATTTTGTTATGACCATGCTGATGTTGGTTCCCACTTCAGTGCTAAAAAGTAATTATTTTTTCTTGGAGTTAAGTCAAACAGTGTAGATCTACTGTGGTCATGATTTCCCTCTTATTACTTTCAGTTGAAATTTTATCATTGTTTGATTCTTTCAACACAATTTCTAAACCCATTTTATCTTTTTGATTTAAAAACTCTTTGTGATACAAGGATATACACTTTTTCAGTTACTTGTTACTGCTTAACATAGCTTACTGTCATTTGGTATAAGAATAATTTGGAAAAGCAGTGAGCCGTAAAGAATAGGATGTTACATACACATTCTATGCAGTTGTTTGCTGTTGGTAAACATCGGTATTTTGCTCAAGAAACTTCACAAACTATTATCTGGGCACTACTGAGCATTTATCTTTTCTGAACACAATTAGTGTTCTAATATATATGAATCTATACTTTCCATTGTATAAAATTTGAATTTCTATTGGCCCCTTCTTTCATTACATCTGCACGGATGTAGCGGACACCTTGTATATTCCTACTTTTTCGACAAATGTTCATCAAGTTTTCATTTAATATTTTCAATTTTTCTGCTCTGACTTCCTCCTTTTTTTTATTATCCAATACAGCCAAATTCTCAACATTTATTCTTCGTTAATTTAATGCACTTTTAAAGTTTTCAATGT